TAAATAGATATTAGATGAACGAAATTTTATTTGAATCTTCATGTTTGCATTGTTCGTTTATTTTTATAAAATTCTCTGCCATTTTATGCTAGAAGTATTGAAATAAATGCACTAAGTATTCATTAATAGGTTGTAAAACTTAAAAATAACTTGTCAGGTGTTTGAGGAGCGTCGCGAGGAGCGCAAGCGCGCGCTGGAGGCGACGGACGAGATGGACCGCGGCCGCAACAAGAAGGTGAAGAAGTTCCACCACTACAACAGCTTCAATAACAACAGGAACGGATACAACCCCTTCCAGGTATAACATCATTGGTCAGCCCTTTTCCCATTTTTTTTTCTACCATTATTATTAAAAAAAAAAAGAATAATCTGGTTTAAGTCCTCCAGATCAATCTAGCATCCCCCATTATAGTTATGATGCATTATAGTTTCTATTTCTATTGGTGTAAATAACAACTGATTTTAAGTTCCAATTGTCCCATACACCTTGGTGGCATATATACAAAAACTCTGAAAATTAGTTATTTCCTGATTTTTACAACTTTATTCGTATTTTTTTAAATTACAATATTCCTAAATTTTTGAAGTGGGCATCCTTATATGCTTAATTATTATAAGTGTTATGTGTTTCCAGGAAAAGCAAAACAAACCTCACTGGGGAGGTGGAGGTAACTTCAAGTACAGGAGTGAGCAGCGGAGGCCGGGGCACCACTTCAACAAGCATTATAACCATAAATACAAGCGATTTAACAGGTAACTATAATGTAATTTTACTAAACCTTGTATAGAGTCCCTAAAATTTGTTACCAAAGTTTTATCAAAATCTATCCAGTGGTTTAGAAACATAAAACACAAACATTGAATAAATGAAACTATGTTGAAAGCCTGTCCCACAACTGGCTGATGATCAGATACCTTAAAAATGACGTCACTGTCAGATAAGGGAACAAAATCCGATATTTCCATAACATTTTACATGTTCGATTATCAGATAATTTACTATTTGGTGGGACAGGTCCTAAACCTTGTATTGCGAATTGTAAAGTGAAAAAAAATTAAGACGGAGATCTTTTTTGTGTTAAACATCAAAGTATATACAATCTTATTAATTATTTTAGGCTTTTAGATTTTTTTTTTAAATAAATAATTTGTTTTTAGATACAACACGAATGGTCACCATTACAACAGACATTGACCCTCGGCCACAGTCTCGCGCTCCGCTAACTACATATATCTAAATATACAGATAATAACCGTATTATATACTCTGTTACCGCAGTCCATTAGTCCTCGTATGGCGCGAAAATTATATACTGCCATAACCTCTCAAATTGTTCTAACTGTTGAATATGTGTAAGGAAATTGTAGCTAGAAATAAATCACTTGTGAATATCGCTTCAAATTAGCTTTGATTATGTTCAAAATTAATGAAAATTTTAATTTTTTCGTCATTTGAGGTCGGTTTCAATTAATAATTTATTGGAACTAAGTATTTTTGATGTCATATTGTTCGATAACTTTGAGTCCCTTATCGATTTGTAATTAAGTTTTATGAGTTTGTGTTAAGATGTATTATAAACATAGTTTACAAGTTTAGTTAAACATTTCAATTTAATACATATAAAAATAAAATTAGGAAATATTGAACGGTTTATGATAAAATTTAGACATGTTTGATGTGAGTTGGTTTGACATTTATAAAAAAAAACATTAAACTGTTATATAAATCTGGTTTGCTAGTTTATTATGACCGGATATGTGCATTTTGTACGTAAGATTTGTGCCTCCAATGATTCCCAATATTAACTAAAAAAACTTCCAATATGCTTTTATTTATTTAAATGGTAAACTACTTATATGCAGAAGACTAGATTTAGTCAAAAAGCTGTGAGATCTTTTTTGCAGTTTTGTGTTGAAGTTTTTTTTTTTAGTTAGAAGCATGTAGTATTAGTTTTGCACTTTTGTGTGCGTTAAAGTTAGAAATTGTAAATATCGCAGCCTTATAAGCCTGTAACTGTATATAGTATTGATGTTTCGTAACTGAGTTTTCACTAACCGAAACATGTCCTACTTGTCTCTCCCTTGGAAATAATGGGGATAGTGAAAACTCATATAAACACATATTCCGATAAAGCAATAATTGATTTTAGAACGCGTACAGCTTTTGCACATGTACGTATAAGATTTGAGATATTTCTATATAAAACATTTATGTATGTTTCGCATATAAACATGTATTGAGTAGTCCAAATATAAAATTATTAAAAAAGTCATATTGTATATTTTTAAAAGAAACTGAAAGTAATGCTGAAATTTGTTTATTTTGCTTGGGTTCTGATTTTATTATTTTCGATGTAATTCATTATGAAAAATAAAAAGTTGTAACAATTTTATTCTTAAAGAAAATCGTTTTTAACTTTGTATTTAAATTGGATAGCTTCAGTATTAAAGTTTGTTATATTTTAAATAGTATCTGGTTTAGGTAATTATACCCTGTTATTAATATATATTACATCTGTTTTGTGTAGAGTAATGCAGTTTAGTTCTGGAGTTAGACATCGACAAGGATATCTTATTCTGTGAGCGTGTCAAACTAAATTATGACGGCTCACTAGCGCCACTCTGTCAACATCCTTTTTGTACTGTAGCTTTGTCATTTTTATTCCATTTTCTATGTCCATGTAGGTTTTACATTTCTGACGGAACTTATTGAAGAAATAATTCATAGGGTTTTAGTCACCTGGCTGGATGTCCTTGTTTGTATTGTGAATTAGAGTTGAAAAAATGCTGTTATAGCATTTGAAATATGATTGTGACATTTGGCTTTATATTTTAAACATCAAATCACGGTGTAAGATTTTTGTCCTCGAAAATGTAACAACAATATGTATATTTGCTTTTAAAACATTATGTTAAAATATTTGTTGGTCTAAAAAAAAATTATGTACTGTTTAGGTCTCTCACAATCCCAAAAGTTTGCGAGATTCTTGTTTATAACCATATAGAAAGGAATTAATAAATGATATGAAATACTTTAGCTATGTAAAATGAATGAAATATTAGTATAAAAGTAAAATTTAGCAAAATTACATTTGGTACAGAAATTCGCCTTTTTTGGGATTTTTCAAACTAGCTTTTGTATATTATGTTTAGCTGACTAGTTTATAGCACCATTAGATACCATAATAGACTAATTAAAAGGAAATATCTTTTTTTTTTAATGACTTTAATATTTCTGGTACCTGATACCTCATTTGTTAACCGACTTCGAAAAGGAGGTTCTAAGTTCATCTGCGTCATTTTATCATCTTGTCAACTTTTCGCATTTAACTCATATGAAAAATATCCTATCACTGTAAATTTATTGCAAATTTTACTTTATTTTAATAAACAATATTTGTTAAGCATTACTACGTACTGACTTCATAATATCTTTATAGTTAAAATGCTAACTTTAGTATACTGTTACAAGGGTTTAGAGGAAGTTAATTTTTTACCTCGATAGCGCAAGATATGTTATCTTAGCAATCCATGTACATGCATAAAAATGTTCTAGTTTATAAGACATTGATTTCTCTTTACAAAGGTTTAAAAATTAATAAGTTTTTGTGATGAATTTGTAAGTCACGAATGTTCATAAGCAAGCAAACTTACTACTTACTTTGTGTTTTATTTCGCATCCTTCCTGTTTTTTGTATAACCAAGTATATAAAAAACCTTGCTTAACGCTTCAATAGCATTCTGTGTTTTTAATGTGTGCAAAGGAATTCGTATCATATTTCTACTTAATATGACAAGGTTTTTTATATTCCTGGCTATGCTATACCTAGATTTTCTTCCGAAAAACTTACCGAAAAAGGATGGTACTCATTTCCTACAATGTAAAAAGAAAATTCCTATTTAATTTTTTTACTAGTTTTGTTTCTTCGTCACATAGTTTTTGAAGTTTCAATCACTAATTATCTCAAAATTCTTCACAAACAAAATACACAGTATTGAAAGTAAAAATTGAGAAAAACCTATATTTAAGTCTACATAATATTAAATTTGGTGAGGATTAAAACGCATAATATTAAAAACATTTTTAATCAACATTTTTTTACAAACACGTAAGTGTTAGGCGCGTATAATTCTAAAACTGGCCTTACTATAATTGTCTTATTCTTAGAAACAAATTAACAAACAAGTCAATAATTTCTACATTATAGCCTGACCAGAAATATTAAAATATCTAGCCCACGCTACATTGTGGAAAAATGCGGCATTAATTGCCAAAGTAAAGGCAATTGAAGCGTTCTTACGTTAGCATTTTTATATTAAGGCATACAAATGTTAATACGAGTAAAATTTTATGAGGTTATAATAAAATTAATGCATACAATTTTAAACTCATGATATACCTGATAACTAAAGAATTTATCAAAATGTCATCAGTACATTTAACTGGAAATTTTCCGTAGAACTCGATACTGGGCTAGATTTAATTACTGCAGGTTATAAAATGATAATCTTACACTTAGTTCTATATCTAAATTAAAGAAACACAAAACATTAAAATTATTACTCAGAAGTTCAATATTCTTAGAATAAACATTAATATTTACAAATGCACAAATTAAACTCATTGAAGAGCGAATAATCGAATTTAATTTTAAACCTTATAATGAAAAGGAATTCACGTTTATGTAATCACGGATATACACTTTCCTATAACTATTTGTACTGAATGTGCATAACATTAGAATCGTAAATTGCGCTCAAAAAAGCTGGGTTAGTTCATATTTTTTGTCTTACACTGAATATAAACTTATGACGTCACTGGCCTTAGATCTCATGTTATTCTACACCAGTATAAAGTAAAACTACTAGTTTATATTTCATCACATACTTACAAGTAATATTTGATTGTCAACTTTGAGTCCATTCACACTAACCGGAACGTAGAGCAGAGCAGATTTTTATTTTAAACAAAATTGAACTTTATGAAATTGCAATAAGGTTCAATTTTATTTTACATCTCCTTTTCAATCAAGTTCAATTATGTTTGCGATAAAAATCTACTAAGTTCACCCCAGTCTGAATGGAAAGTTATGGTTCCTTAAACGCTATAGTATAGTAATATTCAAACTTATGACAGATCAGAACATGACACGAGTATTGACTGTTAATATTGTTAGCATTGTTTTTGTATTCAAAGTAAATTGACTTTTCCTCTCACGTAAACATCGCACGAGTCTGCTAACACAATATTTGACCTTGAGGGAGCAAGATATTTCAAAAATAGTAATATATTGCTGTTACTACTAACGTAGAACGAGATGGATGGATTGCGTGTAAGGTGACATGATCAAGATGACGGATGATAAGAGTTATTTTGGAGGACGAAAACCCGATGCTCCGGCCGGTAGGATAAGGTAGGGGAAATATACGGTAGGATAAGGTAGAGCAGTTATCGTTTCTTTAACTGCGTGATGTGCGCGAGTATGTGTTCGTGCGCGAGGTGCGCGGCGGCGGGCTGGCAGACGCGCGCCGGCAGCGTCGTGTACAGCGAGCGGCGCTGCGCGTCCTCCACTAGCGTGCGCCACTGATCGTTCCTCTACACAAATATTGGAAAATCAATCTTTAGAATGAGTTATCTAAACGGAAGAGTAAGCGAGAGGGTGTGTGAGCGGGACGGAGAATAAAGTGGACAAACAAAAGATGAACACAACCGTTGAAAGAGCAAATGACGCGCTTTGTAGAGAAATAAAAGTTTTATCTCAATTTTGTTTTACTTTAACATAGAGATATCCCGTCTATTTGTGTTTGTGATTTTATAACCTCAAATTCTGTGATAGGAATCACAAGAATGGAGATACACCTAAACCTCGGTGCGAACCAGTCGGGGGGTAACACATTGTATCATATCTTACTAATATTTATTATAAATGCGAAAGTTTGGACGGATGGATGGACGTTTGTTAGAGTTTGTAGCCTTATCTGCTGAATGGATCGCGATGAAATTTAGTATAGATGTAGAGCATAATCTTGAATAAATAATAGCCTACTTTCTTTCGTTATATTAAAATTCCACGTGGACGGAGTCACGGTCGAAACCTACTACATATTAAGCATCTCTTTGAAATGGTAAAGTGAAGAATATGTTATCAATAGTGGTAAATAGGTTTTTCAATTGATGATGAGGAGTGTTACCATGATGGCATGCGTGTTGAGGCAGAGCAGCAGCGCGTGCTTAGCGCGCGTCAGCATCACGTTGATGCGGCCCGCGTCCGCCAGGAAGCCCAGGCCGCGGCTGCGCGCCAGCGACACCACCACCACGTCGCGCTCCTGCCCCTGGAAGCTGTCCACCGTCGTCACCTCCACCTGCCGCGCGCTCCTGCAACCGACGAACAATCAAATGTCAACATCGACAATGACTCGTCGACATCGTCGCCGCCGGCACCCCGCCCTTCCTGGGACGCGTGACGCGACCGCAAAATAATTCCAATAACGCTCGCCCTGAAGAAACCCCGTAGGGTCTGCTTTTTTTTATAATGAAGATGCCAAACGAGCAAGCGGCTACCTCAATTCAATGCACCGAAATGGAAAGCGACCGCTGCCCATAAACATCCGCAATCGCAGATACGTTGCCTTCCCTTAATTAACGGAGGAGGATATGCACATAAAGAGGACATTTCCCATTCCTATGCGTCTCCTCCACCGTCAAATCCACTTTTCCTTCCCATCCTTTCTTCTTAAGAAAAGGGTGGAAAGGGACTAAAATTAGGCCTCCGGCACCACACTCATCAGACTGTACGCAGAATTACTTCCACTTCACGCCTGTTTTCTGTGTGGTCGTGGTATTGGTGGGGGCGAGCCGGCCCTGCAGTGCGAAGATGTTAAAGCGGGCTCTACCACTGTTGTATAGTACTAGTGCTGTGCACTGACTGGGGCTGCAGCGCGGCGAGGGCGGCGCGCACGAGGTCGCGCTGCGCGGCGTAGGGCGTGATGAGGGCGAGGCTGAGGCCGCGCGCGCGCAGCGCCGCCGCCAGCGCCGCGCACAGCCGCGACACGCCCCACGCCTCCATCTCGTTGCCGCCGCACGGACCTAGCCACAATATTTTTTTTAATATAACATATTAGTATATTTTTGTTTTTCTATACATATAATAAATTGGAGTGTCTATTTGTAATATCAAAAGAAAAATTCCAGATTTCGAGAAGATCATGTAGATTTAATTTTTTTTTGTCTATCTGTCTGTCTGTCTGCCGCAAGCCGCGTTTGTTCCGGGAAATCTCCGTAACGGCTGGGCCGATTTCTACCGGACTTTCACTTGAGGGTAGCTGACAGAAACCCGCATTTTATAGGCTACATTCATTTATTTCGCGCTGTCAAAATGGCGAATCTCTGGAACGGGTGAACCGATTTGGACGGGATTTTGACTGAAAGAGCTGGTAGAAGGTAGATGCACGCGGGAATGTGATAGATGACATTTTCTTAAAATCCGCGGTAACGAAATTTGCCGGCGACAGCTCGTTTCAGAATATATTTAGTAATAAACTCCTAAAGTGTACACGAAAGTATACAGATTACTTTTACTAAATTTACATCAGTAGCGACTCTATTACATCTCTAATCTAGTGAAAGAATTGAATATAAATAGATACAATCAATATAGTTACAAGTTCATTGATTTTCATTAGTTACATTTTGTGGAGATTTCACAGAAAACACACGAAAAGACTTCACCAAGAAACGCACTGACCTTGTCCCTTATCCCCACTGGGTATATTAACAACACAATATGGCGGTATATCGAGGTCCACATGTGAGTTGGTCATTGTCCTGATTTTCCCTCCGTAGAAGGCTCTATTGGGGTAGTCCGCGATCTCGGGGTGCATGCGGTACTGCTCGTCTAGCAGCACCACGGGGTTGTTCTCCCAGTCCTCGGTGCAGTTCGACAAACGGGAGAATAAACTCTCGCCTAAGCCGTGCTTTCTAGCTCGCTGTTAACAAACAAAACATTTTCTTCAGTATTGAATTTATCAAATATGTTTGCTCGCGACTTCGCCCAAGTAAAATTATAAAAAAAAACAATAAAAAGTCTATGTGTTACTGACAGATTCGTAGCTTTTTAATGGCGTAGGAATTTTTAAAATTGGCCGAGTAGTTTTTGAGTTATTTCGATAAATAAAAACTTTTCCTGTTTATAATATTAGTATAGATGACAGCTCGGAATTACTATTTGTTGTACAGAACTAGAGATTCAAATAATATAGAGGAGACATCGAAGTAAAATCCCGTCAAATAGTTTCCGACTGCTACTTACTAGATATCTATTATTCAACGGTGAAAATCAAGAAAGGCTTCCTATTACTGAATAGAATAAATTAATTTAATATTAATTAAGCATTTCGATGACAGACAAATGTTGTTCCCTGTTTCGTCTATGTATGTATATATTTTAAATGTAGAGGCGTACAGGGAGGGAGAGGGAATTGTGCAATCGACCTTGAAGTCGAGGCAAGAATTGTATTTTTGTACGTATTGAAATAACTCGAAAAGTAATGGGCGGATTTCAAAACTTCTTTCACCATTAAAAAGCTACGTTATCACTGAGTAAGGTAGGTTATATTTTTTACTATTCCCAGTTGTAAGTGCGGACCTGCGAGCAGATGAAGCCGGGCAGCTGCTGCGGGTCGCCGATGAGCGTGAGGCGCGTCACGTCCAGCGTCAGCGGCACCAGCGCCTCCGGCTCTATGGCCTGCCCCGCCTCGTCCACTATGCACAGCGCGATCCGCCCCTTTATACTGCACACGACATTCTACTGTCAGTCACTGCTACACTCTGTTTCCTTTTTTTCCATCCCCGAAAGCGACCGTTTCAAATTAAACATAAAGAAATATCTACTATTCAAATTATTTAACAAATAGTAATTTGGACATTACAGTTAAATCTCTTGTTATCGTAAAAAGTGTACATTACACATATTAAGAAAATAATTCATATTGTCAAAGCAAAAGCTGCCTTAACATAATGTTATTACATATATTGCTTCATATATGTTTTTGATAACGGTTAGCGATAAATTTCCTTTATGACTTAAATGGTATTTGTGAGTACTAAGCGTTGTTTCTTATTTATTTATTCATTAAATAAATAAGAAATTTATTTAATTTTATCAAACACTCACAAGCACACCAATATGTTGAATAAACATAAGCGTACATAATATCAACAAGAATTTACATATCAAAAAGTTTATTAGAATTAAATAATTTATTATCTAATCCGCTTGTAATATTATGTATTATGTATGTCATATTTATGCGACGTATTTTATAGTAAATAATTGTGTAAAATGTAAATAAATGATTGATTTGTAAATCAATTAGTAGAATGTAAGCGGGCGAAAGCTCGTATGAATTGTAGTATTGTAGGGAAATTGTGGTGATTATTGTTCTGCATACCTCCTCATCTTATAGCTGTGTGCGCTGGAGAGCGTTGTTAGCACAATGTCCGCGCCCTCGATGATGCGCCTCTCCGCCTGCTGCAGCACCACCGCGCCCCCGCACTCGCCCCCGCCCCCGCCCCCACCGTCTCCGTGTAACTACACATACAACACTAACTGACTTCCCACTCACATTTACTAAAACAATACTTCAGTGTTGCTCCTCATAAAAATTATAATTTTAAAGTAACACGAAATGTGGCTATAAAACACGGTATTTTGTAGCTTTTTTACATCATGAGTTAGTAGACGAGCTAGCGGCCATCTGAATCCGTTAAAATGGCGAAGCGACCGCTGCTCATAGACATTCGCAATAGTGGATGCTTTGCATACCCGAAATCGATGAAGGACGCAAATAAAGAAGATATTTCCCTTTCTTATGCGACTTCTCCACCGTCAAATCAACGTTCCCTGCCTATCCTATTCTTATGAGAAAAAGGGTGGGAAGGAAAAGGGACCAAAGTTCGGCCTCAGGCGCCACACTCAAAAGGGTAGATAGGGCTGAGTAGCTGACATAGATAGCTACTTTTTTTAATTCTGCGCTGTCAAAATGGCGTAACGGTTGGTCCAAAGTTTGCGGGAAACAGCTCGTTGGTTCTAAATGTAGTAGAGAATGTCATAGTTACGAGTGCTATTCTGTTGCAGAGGTTGGCGATGCGCGTCTCGCAGTAGGCGACGCGCGACGGCTCCGCCTGGTCCGCGATCTGACTCCGCAGCATGTTGATCTTTGCCTGGATGTGCGATATCTGCAAATTATATTTTAACTTAATTCCTACTTTTAAAAGTTAATTTGCAGTTTTTAATTGTATTGTATAACGCTTTTATATATACTTATGTGTATAATAAACAAAGACATTTAAGAAATGTGACGAGGCATAGTTAACAAAACATGTAAAAAACAGACTAATCATATAAATATTATAAATGCGAAAGTTTCGATGGATGGATGGATGTTAGCGTTTGTAGCCTAAACGGCTGAACGGATCTCCATGAAATTTGGCACAGGTTTAGAGCATACTCTGGAAGAACACATAGGCTACTTTTTATCCCGGGAATAGTTACAGTTACCGTGGGATTCATTAATTTAGTTTTTTAATGTGTACTCGAACTTTCTGGAACGGTTCAACATATCTTATTGAAATTCGGCACAGATATAGAACAAAGACTGGAGTACACATGGGATAAGGTTCATCCCCCAGAAATGTCTGGTTCCCGAGGGATACGCAACTTTTTGTTATTTATATAGTCCGTATGTATTCTAATATCACGCGGACGAGGTCGCGGGCAACAGCTAATAAGATATAAACATATAAAAATGTGAAAAATATTTCTAGTAACTTTGATTATAAATATTATTCTAGTTATTTATTAAAACATAAATATATTTAACTAGACGTACAGACAGGAAATAGGATGGAATGTTTATTACTAGGAATGCGATAAGATAGTAGCACTGGTCGTGTCACTTCGCATCACATTTATAATGATTGAAATATGATCCGTGTGAATGTTGACAAGTTAGTTAATTTACTACACAACTTATGATGCAGAAACCAATATGACTTTGTGATTTCAAGCTATAATTATAATTTAACAAGAAATTCTACATCCAAGATGTTATTCAGATGGCAACTTCAGATTGAGAGTTACGTACAATGCTATCCAAAATAATGACGCCTTTTTTATAATACAAGGTGGCAAACGAGCAAGCGGCCACCTTAATCCACCGAAATGGAAAGCCACCGCTGCCCATAAACATCCGCAATTGCAGATGCGTTGCCAACCCTTAATTGATGGAGGAGGAGACGTACATAAAGAGGATATTTCCCCTTCCTATGCGTCTCCGCCACCGTCAAACCCACTTTTTTCCTCTTAAGAAAAGGGTGGAAAGGGAAAGGGACTAAAATTAGGCCTCCGGCACCACACTCATCAGACGAAACGCAGAATTGCTTCCACTTCAGGCCTGTTTTCTGTGTGATCGTGGTATTACACCGGACGAGCCGGCCCATTCGTGCGAAGTGGCTCTACCACTGTCAAACCTTCGGAATTAGCTCAAACTTAATTAGAAAACTATTAATTTTATTAGCGAAATCAACGGAAGCGGAGGGTAGAACACAAGCGTATGCTCACTTTCCATGCCCATACCCAGCTCAATCCTCGTCAATCACCAATTACCCTAAAGTACACAACTACTAAAACCCCAGTTATATTACCTCTTCAGCAATGGCGGGCTCCGCAGGTTTCTCGCGGCTGCGTGCGTCGCGCTGCGCCAGCTGCTGCGAGCTGACGTCACGCGCGCGCGGGTGCATCGCCTCCGCGCGCCCCACGCGCACCATGCGGAAACGCTCCTCTAACCAAACAAATATATAGTACTAAAGGACTAAGCGCTCAATATCAGCGCTCGCATAAAACACTTCCGGTTCACAAATGGCCAGTACAGTTGGATATGTAGCGTAATACATGGTAGAAATGTCATAAATTGTACCTACTGTTGATTACTAGTCTAGTTATTGAACACAACTGACCAACTGTACTGGCCAAGTGTAAACCGGGCTTAACTGGCGCCAGTGACCCCATACTGTCCGACGGCATTATTGCGCATTCAAATATACCAAAAGAAACTTATCAAAGTAAATCTATACCGAACCCGGTTAATTAAGTGGTCCAATGTTTTTTTTTACTAAATATTCGTTTAAATAAACAATTGAGACTATTATAGAAAAATAACTTCCATATTTTACATTTCATTAAATGCCCTTGTCCCTAAGATAGATCGGCACAGTATGTACTGCTCTTCCATACATCTCTAGTATCAGTCGTCATATCTAGTCACTCCCTTTTTAAACATGTTTCAAACAATCCATTCGTAGTTTCGGTCTTCCTCTACCTTTGTTGCCATCTACATTCTATGTAACTTTAAATATTATATTGATACTAGCTGTCGCCCGCGACTCCGTCCGCGTGGAATTAAGAAAAAACCAAAGTGAGTAGCGTATATCTTCTTTCAGACTATCCTCTACTTGTATGCCAAATTTCATAGAGATCCGTTCAGCATAGGCTACACACACTAACAAACATCCATCCATCTTTCGCATTTATAATATTTGTAAGATTATATTGATAGACTAGCTGTTCGCGTGCGGCTTCATCCGCATGAAATTATATTTTTTTTATTTATTGTTTACATTTGGCAAATTATCAATAGCAAATGTCAAAATGACACGACATGACAAACCTTGCTGCCAACATCAAGGAAGCAAAATGTTGCTTATGGTCCCTTTCCCACATTAAGGTTTCTATCCAAAATATTTACCCTCTAAGTTTAATGGCGTGAAAACATATAGCATAAAGCGTGACGCAGGGCTATTTATTAAAAAAAGAATTATTCAAAAACATGCTGTAATTGCTGACATCTTAGGCAACAAAGAAGTGTGTGTTTACTCTTTATTATAATAGTATAGAAGTATAGATTAAAAATCTAGTTTAATATGAATAACATAAAATGTTGACTAACCTTTAGGCATATCTTTCCTGATATGTAACAATCTGAGGACCAATTCATCGACAGCAGCATTGCTTGTGGCACATATTAAAATCTTTCCCCTGTTATGTTGTTTTCTGCCGGCAGCGTTATAGAAATATGTCATAACAATAGCGCATATAACACTCGTTTTTCCTGTGAAATGTGAAAAATAACTAATTTGTTGGTGTTACTATAAGCTACGTTTGCTTTGTAGCGATAAAAATTTCGTATTCAATTTACCACAAAATCAATGAAATTTTCGTTAGATATCAGAAACTAACTAAGAATAATTTAACTCACGTATGAGTGTCCGGTGACATGCGTGAGATAATCGTTTTCAATTACTTTACTTTGTGAATGGTTCGAGATCGTAAAAATAATACGAACGAGAGATTAAGATGGTCGAAAATTTAGCCAACGGGACTTTATCGCGAAAAAAAACCTTGTAATTAGAAACAATGTATATATACCCTTTACGCCCGCTTTATCTAGTGTTCTACTGATTTACCTACAAGATATATAGTATACCTGTGCCGGGCGGCCCCTGCACCATCTGTATGCCGGGCCGGTCGCCGAGCGCCGCACACACCGACGACTGCACGGCGAGCCTCTGACTGGCGTTCAGAGTAACCGTCCACTGAAATACATCAAAAAATACAATAAAAAAATAAAAAAGGTGCTATTTTAAAAACACATGAAAAGAAAAAAAAAATTCTTCAATAGTTTACAACTTATTTTGGTCACTTAAGTAGATATAGGGTCCCTACACACAGAGCAGAGCTAGTTTTTATCGCAAATAATATTAAACTTTGATTTAATTGTACAATGCTTGAATTTTATTTCTGATAAAAAAACTGATCTGTTCTCGGAATGAATGAATTTAAGGCAATAAAAAATATTAAAATAGTCTTACTTGTGATTTTAATTCTTCTGGTTTCAATTCATTTGAATTAATAAAGTGTTGTGGCCTAGGCTTTAGAATGCAATCGATAAGTGACGATCCTTCTAAATAATCCATAGCTTCAAACAGCATTAATTCCTTCTTTATATAAGCGAGATTTTTGCCAAATAGTGTTTGGCCAACTCGTAATTGGCCCATCTTTTCCGAATACATGCCACACAAAGAAATTGCAAAGAAAGAGTTTACATTATCTAGAAAAAAAATAATAAAAATTGTTAATGGTATTTTCTAAGTTCAAAAATTTTCTTTTTAATTTCAACATACTTGGAGGTGAAGGCAGGCTCCGTACATTATTAACATAAAGAAATCTATTGCATTTTGCAGTATCTACTCCGAAAGAAATCATTATAACATCTCCAACTCTCGGAACTAATCTTACTGCCTTTGTTGGTAGTGAAACTGAAAAAAATGTAATTTTAGAAAATGTTACTTTATTTTTTTTTGTTTTTTTCATTAAATATAATTCTTTGCATTTTATCACATTCATAACAATTGTTCACTTTCCTTTAAAACATTGGTTTCAATGGAGGTTTTTAAAAACTAGATAGAGAAAACTTACAGTTAAGAACCATATTGTACATTTCATGCAACCTTTCTTGCGAAGGTACTGATTCTATTTGCATTTGTAATTCAGTTTTTTCGTTCTGTAATTTCTTATAACCTTGTGTAAGACATTCCCATATCTCCATAAGAAGTAGGCCACCAATTAATCTGAAATAATATATTAATTTATTGTAACTGACAATAATTATCTGTTAAACCCAATTAATTTGTAAGATTGACTTAAAATTAATGGATTACCAAGTACTTTAGATAAGTATAATAATAAAAAACCGATATTAATTATTAAGTTCTGTGGTAACACTTATAAGTATATTAAAAAAAAAAACATCCTTACTGTTTATACTGGTTATGGCTTCTAAATGAATGTAGCATAACCGGAGGTTGATTATGATCTAAGATGGGAGGAGGTTCATTCCTGTGAAGCTGTTCCTCCAACCAGTTTCCATTCCAACGTAAAATCTTCATTAGTGTTTGCTTTTCCAATGAAAAAACTGGCATATGTTGTACATCCAAAAGTGTTGATTTCATTAAACTGGTCCTCTTCAGTTTATTGCCTGGATCAATAACATACTCGCGTACTTTTGGCTCTTCGGTACTAAAGCTCACTTTTTTCTTAATTTTTTTATTTATTGTATTAGCAGGCAATGGTAGTACTTTTGAAACTGGTTTACCAGTTATTGAATTCTCACTTTCCTTTAATGGTTCTACATATTTAACAGATATGGGTTTATCAGAACCGCATAACTTATTTGAAACATGACTCGATTTTGTGTCATCTTTGTCTTTAATCTTGGATTGTTCAGGTTCTCTTGATTTAACATTTTTGTTTTCATCCTTATTTTTTATCTTAGAATGTTCTTGTTTCTTTGAATGTTTTTCTTCTTTTGTAGGTTGATTTTCTTTCTTTGATTCCGTACTTTTATGAGTTGATTTATCAGTTTCTTTAATTTTATTTGTTTTCTTTGTTGTTTCAATAGTTGATTCAATATTGTCAGTTAAAAATAAACCTCTGTTACAAGTTGTTACTTTAGCAACAGCCAAACCTACTGTTGCAGTATTAATTGATGAGGCTGTTGTTGTTTTGACTTCTCCCTTTTCTTTTAAAGCGATTTCTTTAAGTTTTTGCTTCCTCTCTTCTTTTTGTGCGTCAGTTATCTGTTTCTTTACTTGGTGTTTTTTCTTAGAATCCTGCTTTCGTGATCTGCTATGCGTAATAGTTTTACCTAAAATAAATGATATTTTAGCTACATTACTAAGTAAAATTCATTAAAGGGGTATTCAAAAGATAATCTTACATATATTATAAATGCAAAAGTTTAGAGGGATTGATAGATGTTTGTTTATATTTTATAGAGGCATAGATGTAGAGGATAGTCTGGAAGAACACAGGCTACTTGCAATTGTTTAATTCAATGCAGAAGGAGTGGCGGGCGAAAGCTAGTAGAGATATTAAAAGCAGAATGTACTTACTTTTTTGATTAACACATTCTTTTTTTGATACCGCTGCTGCATGTGCAATCCTGTGAGTTGGTTCAATTAGTTTAATTTTCTGTACTATCTCATGATGACTCTGAGGAGATTTGCAGGATGATGACTGATTGCTGTTGTGAGTGTTTAAATCACTTCCATCGATTTGATCTTCATTTTCTCTAATAACTTCTGAATTAGAAACATCATTTGTTTTTGATTCAAACTTTACGTCATTGCTTGTAGCTTCATTGTTTTCTAGGTTACATTTTTCTGTAACTTTAGCTGTAAGTGTTTCTTTACAGTAATTAAATTTTTCAATTTCTTCTTCAGAAGGAAGATGTGATTCACCATCATCATCAATTTCTTCATCCAATTCATAATTTTCTTTGTTTGAATCTAAAATCACAAAATCCTCCATTTGACTGTATGAATTATCAGTCAGCTTTGTATCTTTATTTTGTGAAATTTTTATAAATGGCTTCCCAGGTGAACTTTGTGACAAACGCAAGAACCATTGTTCCGACTCACTGTCATCATCACTACTTATCTGAATAGGTTCATCATCATAACCTAAATATTCTTGTTTAACATTATAAGCTTCAAACTGTATTTCATCATTTTCTGCACTAACATGGTCTTCATATACTTTATTTTCAGAAAGTGGCTCAAATTTTGTCTTTTTAATTGTGATTTCATCATTTGTGCATATTTCTAAATCACTATCTGATATACTTATGCAATCATTTTCAATGTTAAGTACATTGTTGATTCTTTGGACTGCTTGTTTGTTTTTTGGCTTTAATTTCCTTTTTAAACCCCATTTAGATGTACCACTGGAATTGGCTTTACCATCAAGTTTTGTATTGTGTAATTTCTTAACGGAGCCCTCTACATCATCTTCAAAATCCTGATCATTTTGGAATTGTATTCTGTTATATATAGGTGTATGTAACTTAACTTTAACAAGTTTGTACACATGTTTTTCGCTGTCGGGAATTACTGCTAATGGTGCTCCCGGAGTCCAGCCAAATCCAATGATGTCCAAATCAAACAAGTCAAAAGGAGTGTCTGGACTGAGTTTCTTCAATCCAATATATACTCCATTAGAGCTCTAAAAAGAAATAGTTTACATTTCAGTTGTTATAAGATTTAAAATTTAGGTATATTCTAAACTCATTTGCATGAATTTAATCAAACAATAAACGTTCATTTGAAAAATGCACAATAGTCAGGAATTCACAAAATTATAAACCAAAAAATTAATACAAATAATTGCATTTCAAATCAATTATTTACTTGAGAATACATGATGAACATAAAGGGACATTTGGCTTTTTTTTAGAAAATATTGTCATACAAAAAAAGTATACACTTAATAAAAATACGTAATTACTTTTAAGTCAGTGATAATGGCTCTATCACTCTTAAATTTAATGATACAGTGATTTCTAGACACCACAATACTTGAGATGGTTACAGTATTGGTCAAACCCCTGCCGAATTTAACTTCATCTCCTTCTGAAAACTCCAGCTCCTCTATAGGATCGTAATTTTGTCTTATTAATTTCCACCGAGCCATATTAACAATTCCAAAAAACACAGCACTAGATATATATTGTATTCAACGCCCACAACAGTAAAAGCATGATGGATGCTGATCTCGTAAGCTAAATTTAACAACTGTTTGTAAAGTATCGACTCATCTTTTATTAATTTTAAGTAAATAACTAAAAAACATTGACTCGATTTCGGTTATATTTTAACTCCGGCCGGTGCCTGACATCGACATTGACGTATCCGAACAACAAAGACTAATCAAAGACAAACTAACTTCAAGTCAAATTATCAAAGACTAGATAGTTATGACACCGTACGTTTTCGATATTCGTCCTATATAATTTTACAAGGTAAATAATCTGAAGGCAAATTGATAAATGACCTATGGCTTACAGCAACTTGCGAAGTCTCTTGTAAGCAAGGTTATGTTATTATTTAATTTGTTTGATTTTACTTCTACTTTCAGATAAATAAACTAAAAGACTCTCGTATTTATAAACAACTCACGATAATGTAGAAATCATCATCAAAAAATATATATAACTATAAGAAGTTCCCTTGGATAGTTAATAGAAAAATATCACATAAACATATCAAATAATTATAGCGTTGCACAACAATATTTAATTGTGATAGGTCTGTCCAAGAATAAAGTTTGAAACGTATATTTATTTTTAGTGTCGCATTGATCTAATTTAGACTGTAGTTATTTTTGGTTACATCAAAGGTCCTGCTTCTTAGCTCATATTTTAATATGTACGTCTCCATCGAGGAACTCGAGCCGATCCTAAATGAAGGGTTGAAGATAATTAGGTTTCAGTTATCCACTTTAGCCTGGTGCGGTTTAATTGACTTCACAGTGAACTTCGACCATAAGAAAATCATATGAAATTTACTCCATGCCTCTAATCCATAAACCCTTTTTTAGTTTGTTTTATTTAATTTATGTAACTACAGGGCTGGGTACTGGGAGACGAAACGATTTCTCAAAACTGTGCACTGTGTGTTTGAATGAAACCTAATTCTATTTTACCTTCAATGAAATTGCAAAGATATTTTCCTTTTATATCAATGATTCAAAACCATTAAACTTTTATTTTCTCTTACTCGGCAATGTTTCTAAGTCTTTCAAAATTATATGCTTAACTAATTTTTAAGCTAAACGATTGTCAAATAACTTTCTGTTCGTATGCAAATATTGTTATAAGTTAATTATAATGTTAACGATGAGAGTCGGTTGAAAGAAATAAGTGGTTGTTGTGGTGTTGCGCAGAGAAAGGCCTGGGCGGGCGCTGGGCGGGGGCGGGCGGCAGCGGGCGCAAATAGCAGCGCAAAGCGTCGGGCGGCGCGAGCACTCCTCAGCCGGCGTCAGTCCGTTAGTCTCCGTCTGCGCTTTGTACAGCAACGCGTGTGTCACCGCCAGTTCCTCGCAACACACCGAGCTTCGTCCGCCCGTGTCAGTGTCGCGCGAAATATTTAAATGCCGCGAATGTTCTAGTGATTTATAACAATAAGGTTTCAAGCCCAAGGCGGTGGTCAACTGTCTGAAAGAACCCAGTGACTCCTCGACGAAGAGCTGTTCGTTTCTTCCCTCATCCTCAGCCACAAGGTCAAACGGGGAGGTAAAATTCATTGACTTTCATTCATAAGTTAGTTCGTTTCGTTCCACATTCATTATTTAGTATCAACATAGAAGAAAATAATGAAAATATTCCGTAAAGATCTTGTTGAGTGGAAATTTTGATATACAAGAAGCATTAGTTTCAAGTGTAGTATATGGAGACCTACATTAAGGACGCGCCTTTGTATATTTTCAATTACAGTTAATTTGCATCGATTTGTGGAAGTGCATGACACTTGGTGACCCATTTTCGCAAGCGCCGCACGAAAGCTCGACGTTTGGCAATAGGTGGGCACGTGCGACAAATTGGACCGTGGAAATGTTACTTAAGATATTTAAAGATTGCATGAAAACGAGCAGCTTTCATTACAAAAATAATACAAAAGCTACAAAAGCTAAACTATACAAAAGCAAAGCCAGCTGATTTCTGGGCTATCGGAATTTCGCGACTATTAATTTGTACGTCGCTGCCGTTACTCGGATACAACGATACAGTACATTGTAATCGTGATAATCTTCGCAAAGCTTCTTTGTTTTTTAAAGATTTTGAACTATAACGATAGGAAAATATTTTAAAACAATGTAGAAGAACAATTTGTTCTAATCGTTTCTAAAACGTAACGATAATGTTAAAGAAAAAAATTAACTAACTACGAAAACAAGTTTTAGCTACTTAATAATTTCTTAAAACAATTTTATCGACTTTATAAACATAAAGGACTGAATATTTGAATATGTTTTTAAACCGTTAATGAAGAGGGCCAGCAGAAATTGCGTATTCTGAATTTGCAGACAAATTACATGTGTACTCGCAAAGCATCCCAGTAGCATTCGAATATTTTCAGCAAATAAGACGTAACGTTAACTGGTTAATGTTTGTCGAGGTTGTACCGTCGTATGCAATTTATAGTTCATCATTTGGACTTATTGTCTCTATAAAAGACTGTAAAAAACATCTCCATTCTTAAGTCTGACACTATTTCATTGCACTCTATTGTTATAGAAATCTTCTTGTTATAGAAAACCTTTTCTACTTGGGAGTTCCTCAGGTTGGGATTTTGAAAATCATTAAAAAAATTGTGAAAACTCAAATAATTTATGTCAATTATTCATTCCAATTGCTTAAATTTAACTGCGTGTTTATTTATTTTCTTGAAAAAGATGTACGTACTTCGTACTTCCGTAGCATGAGTCTGTTGGGTCATCAGGCAGTAGCCATGAGTACTGCCCTCTATCGACAGACAAATAGAACTGAGCAAATAACACGGTTCCCGCTCCATTCATCGGCTGTCACTCCCCTTCTGTTTGCTTATTTGTTTTGGCATTACGCAAAACGATGCTAGTGGTATAATTGAGTGCAATTATACAGTTATATTTTGGTTACAATAATAACACTATTACTAGACAACTCGGTAGATTCTAAAAAAGGGTGAAAAATATTAATCCTATGAATCAATAAGGCAACATTTTTAAATAAAAAAACAAAACCGACGTCCAAACAAAATACATTAAAAACAGAATATTCTCAAAAAACAATAAACTACACAAAGAAATAATTCCTTGAATTACTGAAACCTCCTTTGGCTGGTATGTCTATATTGTACAATTATTATTAGTTTAATCTCGGTGTTATGCATGTAACACACATAGAAAAAAATACAGACGAATTGGGTACCTCCTTCTTTTGGGAAGTCGGTCAAAAAAGCCTTGACCAAAGAACACTTCTAATCTGCAATTATAAAACTTCATAAACATGCAGAGCCATTACTGAACTTCACATAGTTTAAAATTTCAGTAATTACTGAATAAATTCCACAAGGTTAGACTTTAAACAACAAACATTACTTTCATGTATTCGATAATTTGATTATATTTTCCATGAAGCCTACACGACAGGTTTAGCCATTCGTGTAGACGTGTATAATAAAATTATTAGTGAATAACTATAACAGATTTTTAAGGTTATGTCGTTTGTTTGTCCAAGGGCCTGGCGAGTTGCCAGGCCAATTAAACGACAGCAATTAAATGCTTTTATTAATTAATATTTAAACAATAAATATGTTGTTTAAAAATTCACAGATTTTTCGTTTACAAAAGGATATTTTATGGCGTTTTATAAATAACTATTGTGAAACATTAGTGACCTTTTTAATTATCCAGTCTCTAATGGTGTCAGTAAATGTTGTATGAATTAGTTATCTTTGTTTTCTATATTAAAGTTGAAATGAAACGATATTTGTAAAACATTTGGCAAAATATTCGGTGCATTGTTATGCTTTCTTTCACAAAGCAAGCAGCCTGATGACCCACTTTAAGTTAAGAGGTCCTCAACGCTTAGAACAAGCGACACAAAGCCGGTTGATTGCCCACTCTTTGGCGCTACAAATCGTATGCCAACTCAAATTGTAATACCTTGATTAATGATTTGGAATTTAGAAGTACGACTGCAACGAAAGAAAATAAAGCTGTTATTTATTACACAATGAGAATAGTTATATTACATTTTAAATCTTAAAACAATACAAAATGTTGAAAGTAAATTACATCTTAAACTCACACTCTGCTTAAGTGAATAAAAGCATGTAGATTTATTAATTTCAAACTTAAGTTGATAAGATTTACGTAAATCACATAAATAAACTTTTAAATGTCACCACTGAGTAATTAATTATCTTATAATTGAAAACAATCTCTTGAATTGACATACGTGTCAGTAAGGTAACGAAGCGTTGTACCTTTCTCATATTGATCCAACGTCTCGGCCCGCCATACCGAGTCTATCTATTACTCGTAAGTATTGATTGAATTCATTACAGTCCGTTTCTTGAATTTTTAATTTAAAAAAAACAAATGCAATACAGGAACTTAATGCATTATTTAAACAAACATTTACTTGTACAGATAAAGAAATCAAGCAGATGGATTAATTCTGCCAAAAATTTGCATTAAATAAGAAGGAAGGAAGAGGGAAAATGTTTTCATTGGACGTTAATTGACCGCAAATCAGCGGAAAAGACGTTTTTAGGAAACAAAACAATGTATGGAAAGTGGTCGATTGGTTTTGGGATATCTTACTCAGAAACCCACAAGGTGGTCTTCTTATATAAACAGAAAGCGTTGTGTTTTTAAAACAACAAATAAAGGTAAACGGCAATATTGGGAACGCGTGCTTTTTAAATTAGTCACTTATATTTTGCGCAAAGTGATTATTTTAGTCGCTTTTACCCACACTTGGCCACTTTCCAGTTGTCGCAACCCTTTTGTTCTGACACGGATCTTTGGCACAAAATGTTCATCTAGTGCAGCGGCGAGTTACACTGAAAGTATGATTATTAGTGGCATACTCATCGATAACATAACCTAATGCTAAATGAATCTAAATAAGCTCTAGTAATGTTGAATGAATAGTTATTTGATGAGCCTGTATGTGAATGTGTAGTTTTTGGGGCGGGTATTGATCGGTGGGCGCGGGAACAAAGGGCGGCCGTGCACTGTTTGCACTGGTCACGAGCTCATTACGCCTGCTCACGTGCTCGCTGTAAAGGGGTTCCTTATTTTCCGGGAATTCCTAATTTCAATCTTTAACTGCTTTGCGTATTATACATAATTTCCTATGCGTGTATGGCAAAGTTAATAAAACAATTTTATTATATTGTTCGGTTGAAAGTTTCTTTTGTTTGATTTTCATTGTTTATCTTACTTAATATAAATGCGAAGTATAGATGGATGGATGTTTGTTAGAGTTCACCCTAAACGGCTGAAGAGGATAGTCTGGGAAAACACATAGGCTACTTACTTTTCTTTTTTTTTATTCCACGCGGACGGAGTCGCGGTGGAAAGCTAGTTTTGTATAAAGGTTTATTTCTGTCAAGTAATGCAGATGTTAGATAAGCTCGTATATGTTCTTTACAATACAAATCAAAGTTAAATGATCCGTAGAGCCAACAAACTGTCTACAATATATCACTAACTCACAAGACACGGAAGGAAATATAAATGATAAATCGACGAATTTAAAACTTTGGCATCAACCAATCTTTGAAATTTGTAAAATGCAGTGCAATGAAGTTTTCGGTGAAGCTTGCGAGAGCCAAGACTTCATTTATGCAATGACAGCGGACATAGACAAATTCTATGATACTTTATTATCATTTTGAGGTTATTTTAGAAAAATCACACTCCATGACTACGGATAATGGTATATTACCAGTTTTTTTTAATAACGATACGACTTTTCGCTGTTTCTACATGAAATAACATTGAACTCGAGAAGTACTCTTTTATGCGCATAGTTATAGTTAATCCGATTGACTTGCTTGTTTTTAACTGCCATACTTAACGTTTAATCAAGCCGTACTTAATCTAAGTAGATTGCTAACATTAAATCTTCGCTAAGGGATAAAATAACAACATTTAGAGTGGTATTTATATTGTTTGTAACACGTCTTAGTATTTAATTCAATATATTATTAGGAATCGTATCGGGTAAGATCGGAATCATATATCGGTTCTGGAATAGACTTAAGATACTCTCGTACAACGTAGGCGTACAATCGATTTCAAATCAATTGAAAAGCAATACTAATTCGAACTTTATTAGAGCATTATAAGTTTAACGACTTGTGATCAGGTATGTACAGTTCGATGAAAATACATTAAATTGAGCGTTTTGCAAATAAAGTTGTTCAACTATCAAACGGATTGCCAATAATTTTGTATACCTGACCTTGAATTCTGAGATGAAAGCAAACAAATGTATTGATGAGATACATTTGTTATGTACCAAATTCATATAAATATATCTATCAATGTCAATTCATCCCTTTCATTGTCTTGAAGATAATAGAGACAGCAATACGTTCGAGATATTTGCTAATACCGATATTCATGTAGTTTCTTGTTCAATACAGTTCAAATAGGTTAATGTAAATAAAAGAAATGGAAGTGTTTAACTATCCAATTGCTCTATTAAATGGAACTATGATACAAGTATAATAGCCA